ATATTCATATACAAACTTTAATAATTGTTCATTAATTGTAATGAACATTATTCTTATATTTGTGATAATCTAATAACAGTGTCTTGACTGATGTATATTTGAGTGTGTGTGTGGGGGGGTACTTGCTTACTGGCTAATTAGCGCCCGACTACAAATAGTTGGTCATCGGAGTTGTCTAACTCACATTCTCCAAATTAATTCTCCTTGTTTGTACGCTTTTCATCCGCTCATTCCTGTCTGCTTAAATGAACCCATGAAATATAAATTAAATCCACAATACCGTAGTTCGCTTCCTATGACCACCGTCATACAAACAGGGAAGATTTACAGCATTGCTAACTCGACCATTCGTCTACACTGGAATCAAGTCTCAGGCCACTACTAAGTTGGTGAGCCTTACTTTAAAGTTCAACACAACTACTAAAGTTCCACCCAGATCGATAGTCATGATTATTGATTGATTCAAATAAATGATTTTGATTATTTTCAGCGAAAATGTGTTTTACTCACATTGTTTAGGAAAAAAACGAACTAATTTTCAAATAAGCCAACCACTCAATATTAGCACAGAAAATTTATGTTCGTGTAAGATTGTTGGGGATGTTAGATCCCCAGAACTCGCTTCATAAATCTCTTTATTCCGGATTTTATTCATGATCTGGTCAGTTGACCTTGAGATCACATTTCCCACCTGGAAAATCCTTGGCTGTGATTGGTTCCTGTGTCATTTTAGTGTGCTAATTTTGTGACTGTCCCAAGGACGTCTCTATGGTGTATAAATAAACGCAATTTGAGTGCTTGGATTCATTGTGTGTGCTGTCTGGGTGTTTGAAGAATACACTTTCTACGCTATATCAAGACTTTTTGCTGGTACAATTTGGTCAAGGGATCACAGTAGCCTACCTGGAGGTGAACTTGTAATAGTTTAAACGTACCTAGAGACGAGCATAAGAAAGATGTTTTATTTCAACTGATTGGGTGGAAGTGAGATTTTCGTGACTTTATGTTTACAAAACAAGTAGATCTAGAATGTTAACGTTGGAAAATTTCAGAGTATACAGTTGTAAGATTGTTTTCACTGGTAAAAAGAAAGTGTGTTTAAACAGAGACATTTGCTACAATAAAAGTATGCGAAATTTTAGTTGAATATTTGATTACAAATTACTTTTGGACTCCTTTAGATTGTTGAGTTACTGACAACTAAAGTGAGTCATTGAGGTGGTGGTGGTGTTTGGTTCTCTGAGCTGGATGTTTTGGTTGTGGAGCTTTCATTGTTCTTCTACTGAACAACATCATCAGCACAAACTTCAGATCAAGAAGTGAAGTATTCGAATTGCAATCAAAACAAATGTACAAACAACGACAGGCTTAAGGTCAACAGCAACCAATCAAGATCGAGGTTAGCAGAACAAGCTACAGGTCAAACATGGAGAAATTCGAATGCTTCAATTCTATCTGAAGTTTGTGCTGATGATGTTGTTCAGAAGAACAATGAAAGCTCCACAACCAAAACACCCAGCTCAGAGAACCAAACACCACCACAATCATCCACCTGAGCTACAAATCTTCTCCACCATCTCAAAGTGAGTCATGTTTGTAGATGTAGACTAAGCTGGTTTGGGCGCGTGAAACAATCGAAACCAGTGGTTAGACACGTTGAATGATATAACTGAAAATCGTTTTCAATAGCGTAGGTGCATCCATTCTTTGTATTCTCTCGAATCCTATTCTTCTAAATTCCTCATGATCATTTTTTCTCTGTTTTTAATTCATTCCACTGGTATACACTTCTCGAATGAAATCTTCCATACTCCGATCTTTCCGATTATCGCTAATACTCCTAACACTTCGGCTACTTTGGGATTTGAAGTGACAATGCGATCTCTCTGTGTGTGATAATGCGATACGGCAAACTGAACTGACGTACCGTAGGTACGTACGAAGTTCTACGCTGTAAATGACTGATTGGCTTCGAAGAGTTAATGTCCCGCCTACAAATGCAGACCTAAGAACCTGTTTAAACAAGTAATTCAAAAAACATTTTATCCCACTATACTTTCCAGGTTCGAGGAAAGTCATATAATCTATTGAGTCTTTTGCTCCCCTTCAATTCTGAATTTCGGAATTGTCTTCTCTCTTCCCAAATCATATCGTCTCCACCTGATGTTTTCGACTCCTAGCGACACCAACACTGCTTCTGCTACTCTCTTTGACTTGTTTTGATAATATCATCTCATTATAATGAGAAATTGAGCCTAATCAAAAATGTGCTCGGTTATACTTTGAGTTTCAATAAACGGCTGACTGACTGGCTGAATACCAATGTCACCGGAATTTTTCTTAGGTGTGGTGGATTAGTTGATTAGTTTTCCCATCAACAGTGGTTGAAATCTAAACAATTTCAATATATTATTGAACAAACTGGCCCGAACTTCTCCAGGGCGAATTTACAGCCGAAAGCAACACTATCAAAGCATGTCGGAGAAGTTAGATCCCCAGAACTCGCACAATTAATGTCTTTATTTTGGATTTATTTCACTGACCGATCAGTTGACCTTGAGATCACATTTCCCGCCAGCAAAATCCTTGGCTGTGATTGGCTACTGTTTTGTTTTAGTGTGCTATTTTTGTGACTATCCCAAGATCGTTACTATGATGTATAAATAATCGCAATTTGTATGCTTGCTGGACGTTTGTAGAATACACTTTCTACGCCACATCAAGAATTTATCTTCATTTAGTTGGGACAACGGATTAGAGTAACCTAGCCGGACACTGGTTCGTTGTCTCGTTCTCGTTTATCGACTAAGGTGAATCCGTAATAGTTTCAAGCATATCAAGTGACGAACATAGCAAAGTATACATATATATTTATAAAAAATGACACCTAAAGCTTGTCCAAACATGTTTATTTCGTTTTTGAGTAAGGTCTGGTGGCTCTTCTCTTTTCTGCACAAGCATTTCACAAGCACTTGTTTAGGTCACGTAGATGGCGACCAATAGTCACGACAAAAAGACGAAACATGCCATGGATTCATTGCACTGAAAGTCACCATCCATCTCTGCTATAAACGATATCGTTCTTCACCTTCCGAGATGACTGATCGGTTACATCTTATTATATACATGCGAGTGCATGTAATATGCATAGAACAGTGAAGTTGGAAAATACGTAGACTACTATCAATCTATTACATAGTTAGTTGACATGTTCAAATTACAATAAACTTGATCGCAGTCGTAAGTTGATGAGGACATTGTGGCTAAACCAGGAGGTGTAGAAAGGATTGGACTGTGACCAATTTCGGTCTCGCGTGCTTTTATGAGTACAAGGGCGGATACTACATCCCTGCTGCCCACACTGTCGAAGGGCACTGGTTGTCAGAGGGGGCATCGGCCTCGTGACTTTCGAAGGAACTGGGCTTTCATCATCAGACGTCATAACTGTGTGAACTATTGCTTCATGTTGGCGTTTTTTAGCGAGTTCGTTATCTACAGTATGGAGTGGCCAACTTCATGCCCAAACCACCTCCTTTATCCGGGCTGAAGACCTGCAGTAACCCCGGACTCTCCGATTACTGCTAATACTTCTGCTACCTCTACTACTATGGGATTTGAAGTGGCAATTCGATGTATCTGTGCTAATGTGGTATGGTAACCTGAACTGATGTACGTACATAAGTACGAAGTTCTACGTTGTAACTGACTGACTGACTTGTGACTAAATAATCGTTTATTGATGCCGGTCTCAATCTTCATTTAGAGTATGCAGGAGCGGATAATAGTCGTAAAACTGGAAACAATCACCCGAATCCCTATATTCGTTATCTAAGATACTGACGGATTCTTTTCCCAAATAATTAGACGCAAGCCCCAAATAATACTACTACCGATATATTCTCCTCTATTTATCATCACAAAAATCTCGATAAATATTTTAATTTCAATTATAACATAAGCTGTGTAAGGTCAACTCATTCATCACATCAGAATCCATAGGCAAACTCGAAGAAGGATGCTGTCTACCGTAGAAGTAGACTGATATAAAGCTTTCAGCAGCCAATTAGGAACATGATACCAGCCCATGATGTTCACTGACAAGTGGACTGATTGATATATGATGACAACAGGCGAAAACTACCTGGTTAGAGTTCACTTGCGACCATTGTAACCAGAGGTTACAGATTTTGAATGACTATTTGCAGTGGAGTAGATGTAGCCTTTCTTTGTCTTCTCTCAAATTCTAGCCTTTTTTGAATTCCTGCGACTGTAGTGACCTCACATATATATTTGAATTCGCTTACATTTTATTAGGTCAAGCCTTTCGGTTAATTTACTTAACCAGGTCATTTGTATAACAATAACTTATATGTACCATTGGCCTTTATTACTGTGTGGTTTGTATGAATTGGTATGACTGAACATTGTGTACACCTGCGCACATATTCATCCTATTCGCTTTAATACTAATCTCTTAAATATCACGATGACTCAGATATCTTCCTTTGTATATATACGAACATTTTTATCTTATCAATACATTCTCACATTCACTAGCTGGTGTGTCTGCTCGGTCTGCTTGTGGTCTGCTATCCCTATTTGTGGTGTGCCACAATAAACATATTCAACACTACGAAGTTACCTTCTGATTTATAACCGTCAGACGACATCTAGTAACGATTGTCTGAACGAGCTAATTACGAAACTTAAGAACACCTCGAAATCGGCACACTACATGACCACATTTTATTTCTTTTAAAATTAATTTCATTGGTTTATAACTTCTCAAATCATTTGTTCGATCAACCCAGTCTTTTCAGTCACCACTAATACTGCTACAACACCTTCTACTATGGCTTTTGAATTGATAATTCTATCTCTTTAAGTGTGCTAATGTGGCACAGTAAATCGAACTGATGAATAAAGTCTAACGTTACATATTTGATTAAATAACGATAAACTACTGAAAAATATATTCAGTAGTAAAAAGTATAAATGCGTTAAAAACGGCAAAAAAATTTTATTAATAATAATACTAAAGATATCAAATGTTAAGAAGAGTATAACGTGATTTTTGATAATAATATTCAAAAACATTCTCTTTCATTTCAACCTAAAATATTAATTTGGAATTGTGTTTTCGCACAATCTTGATTCTGTTTTCCGGCTGGCTAAAACAACTGAAAAGCCAAAAAAGAATATACATATATATATATATATATATATATATATATGTGTATATATATATATATATATATATATATATATATATATATATATATATATATATATATATAACATTATTAAATTTCATTGTAGTAGTTATAGCAGGAAATATGATTCTATCATAGTCACAACATGAAGTCGGAAACAAAGAACAGACATTACCTACTGCTATTCTACTGCATATAACTATGTGTAAGTATATTACATTGACGATTTATTGGTTAATGCATAAGAACTTATCACATCGTCATTTACTGCCTATGTCACTACTACACAAGTCATCTGTGGTGTATTTTCAAACATCAACATACTCAATAATAATGCCACTGACTGTGTTAGTCCACCAATAATAATAAATTAAGAAAAGCGTATGGATTCTGCTCGTTCAAGGTGAAGATTGGTGACAGGCAAGGTTGCTTACTCTCACCCCATGTCTTTCTCCTGTTCATCGACTGGATTATGAAGACGTCAACATCTGGAGGGAAGCACGGTATCAACTGGACAGTTAGGACGCAGCTGCACGATCTGGACTTCGCAGATGACCTGGCTCTTCTATCGCAAACGCAACAACAAATGCAAGAGAAGACGACCAGTGTAGCAGCAGTAGGTCTGAACATACTTAAAGCAAAAAGCAAAATTCTACGATGCAACACAACATGCACCAACCAAATCACGCTTGATGGAGATGCCTTCCAGGACGTTAACACTTTTACATATCTTGAAAGCATCATGATCGACGATCAAGGTGGATCTGATGCAGATGTGAGGACACGGATTGGCAAAGCAATGGCTGCATTTCTACAGTTGAAAAATATCTGGAACTCCAAACAACTTTCAACCAAAACCAAAATCAGGATTTTCAATACAAATGTGAAGACAGTTCTACTGTATGGAGTGGAAACTTGGAGAACTACCAAAGCCACAAGTGTTTATTAACAGCTGTCTACACAAAATACTTCAGATTCGTTGATCAAACACTATCAGCAACAACCTACTGTGGGGGAGAACAAACCAGATTACAGTGGAGAAGGAAATGAGGAAGAAGCTGTGCAGTTGGTGGATAGGACACACACTACGAAAAGCACCTAACTGCGTCACGAGACAAGTCCTCACATGGAACCCTCAAGGCAAAACGAAAAGAGGAAGGCCAAAGAACACACTACGCCGAGAAATAGAGAAAGATATGAGAGGAATGAACAAACATTGGACAGAACTGGAGAAGGGAGCCCAGGACAGAGTCGGTTAGAGAAAATTGTTGTGCGGCCTATGCTCGATTGGGGGTAACAGGCGTAGGTCAGTAAGCAATAGATCCTGCTAACGCTCATGCTAATTTCCTGCTTTAAATGACTGATATTTTCTTAATATTTTCAAGACAGATTTTGTCTGTAGTGTAGTTGAATAATATGCTCGTTGAAATATGAATTCACTTATCATTCACTCACTCTAAATAATGATTTCCTCTTTACTGCTCAATATCATCCAACAGATTTCTTTATATATATTAGAATTCTAACGTTTTAGTTAGGTGATACGGGTATGTTCCTACTTTATTGGTATGCGTTTAAATTAATAGTAGGGCTCACCAATTTAGTGGCCGGAGATTTGATTCCAGTCAGATGTGATATAAACCTTTCTTTCTTATTGCTGTATATCACATACTTAGGCGAACCACATTTGTGCGACGGTGGTTACAAAAAGCCACATACGAATTCAGTTGAACGAGTTGATTTCAAGCACTCGTTTACGCAGGTAGACATGAGTACAATACAAGAGTACAAACAAAGCGAAGTGAAACGGAGAAGGTGAGCGAGCTAACTCCCATGTACTTGAAGCATGACTAAGTATTTTTAGTCAGGCAATAATAGGCTAGACATGTAATAAACGAGTATGCATGCACACACACCATCGATTACTATAATCTCACGGACCCCAACCAGGTATTCGACACTTACCAACATGACTCAATCCAATTGTCAGTGACTTTATGGATTTGTGCCATGTTTTGGTTTGGCCCACCAGTAGCTTTCTTCTAACCTACTTCAACACCACAGAACATAGCTCGTCGAGGCTGTCGGTGGTTGAACATTCGTAACACATGTCTCAACCATCTCAACTGATTTCTGATGATCTTCCATCCTTAACTAGTACTCGCTTCCTACGAACTGCACTGCCAACTCGATGGTTCCAGCATATACGAGCAGCAATGTCTCAACCGCCTCAACTGTTAAATAAACAGAGCACTGTATATAATTCAAGTCCTTACCTTATATATATAAGCGTAAAGAATATCCGAGGGCACACAAAAATAGCATTGATTACAAGTGAATAAAGATTATTTCAAAAAAACGAAAAAAATCGATATATCGATCATCAATTAAAAAAATTGACAAATTTTCAAACTTTTATCCAACCATAAAAAACCCCAGACATTTTCATTTACATGGACATAGAAAAAAACAGAACAGAACTTTATCAACTACACACTTACTACAACACTATAGACAATCAAATTTTTCTTAATCTCAGTGCATGATTGTTTGAACTCTCTGCTTTAGAAGAAGAAGAAGAATGAACTCCTACTAACTTTGCTGTTGCTGATGCTGCTGATGCTGGTGGTAGTTGTTTCTCTTTACCTTCAATATGTTTTGCGCAGATTTTCAACTCGCTCAAATTGTAGTCAATCATGTTGTCATGGTTTATTTGTTGTTTCAGTGTACGATCAGTAGATGATTTTTCATTGATTGGTTTCTTAGGTCGTACGGGTACATTATCAATTGGGCATTTCGATGACCTATTTAAAATTATAATAATATCAAAAATAAGAATTTAAAAAAAAAGCTACTTATAAGTAGTATATATGACGTGAGTGTCAGTCAACGTAATGTCTGCCAGCAGAAGATGGGGGAAGATCAAGAAACGAAGAGTGGGTAAATAATCGAATTTGTATGAAACGCATGAATAGTGACAATGGATTGATGTTGTTGGCAACAGGAACAGTCCAGTTTGATATGATGAACTGATATTTTGCAAATGAACGATTAACGATATGGTTTTTTCGATTTTACTGAGTAAATACAATCCGGTTGCTCCACCTGTGTTCTAGTTCACTAAACTTTTGTATACAACTGTGAATAGTTACTTCCAGACAATCAAAAGTATAATGCCTATCAATCAATCAGTAGCTTCATTTTTGATAAAAATATGTCAATTCTAGTCACGTCATACTGTCAAATAACTAAATTCAAGTTGAAAGGTGTATTAAAAGCCTATGCACAAAAAAAACTTCTTCAGTTTGTGATTTTAATGATAAGAGGCATGTTGGATATTTTAAGCTTGTTGGGGATGTTACATCCCCAAAATTCGCTTGGTAAATGCCTTATTTTGGTTTCTACGTTTGCGAGCATGGGCTGATCAGTTGACCTTGAGATTTACATGGATGTGATTGGCTGCTGTGTATTTTAGTGTGCTATTTTCTTAACTGTCTCAAGGACGTTTCTATGATGTATAAATAAACGAGAGTTGTATGCTTCATTGTATTGTGTACTTGCTGGGTGTGTTTGTAGACTATATTTTCTACGCTTACAGAGCCTTTTTACTCTATTTGGGGATTCAAGGTAGCCTACCTGGACGCTGGTAAAAGTCTCGTTCGCGTTTATCGACCAAGGTAAACTCGTAATTGCCTCAAGCATACTTAGTGATGAGCGTAACAATGCTATCACAGCCACAATCGACAATGCATACGTGTTGGGGACGTTAGATCCTCAGAACTCACTTGATAAAGGTCCTAATCTTGGACCTGGGCTGATCAGATGACCTTGGGATTACATTTCCCGACCGGAAAATCCTTGACTATTACTAATGGTTGATGTATTATTTTAGTACGCTATTTTTGTGACTGTTTCTAGTACGTTTCTATCATGTATAAATAAACTCGATTTGTAGGTGGTTGTTCACCTCATATTTTCTGAGCGCTTGTAGAATACACTTTCTACGTCTTGTCAAGACTTCTTCATCTACTTAGTGGGGCCTTAGGACGCTCGGATTAGAGTAGCCTATCGCGACACTGCATCATTTGTCTTATCTCTCAATTTACCGACTAAGCTGAACTCGTAATAGTAGCATTCAAGCATATCAACTGGTGGCAAGCACAACCAATAAGAAATCATTCAGCTTCCTTTTTTAACAGACAGTCAGTCAGATGCAACGTAGAACTTCGTACGTAAGTACATCAGTTCATGTTGCCATACCACATTAGCACAGAGACGCAAATGTCAAATCAAATCCAATAGTAGTAGAGGTAGTAAGGGAATTAGAAGTAATCAGAGAGGTTAGGATTAGAAGATATTATTCAAGAAGTATGATTCAGTGAGATAAGTTTAGAAAGTCAAAACGAGAGGGGTTGAAGAATCCAGAAGATTAGGATTTGAGAGAACATAAAGCATAAATGCACGGGCGCCATTGCGAACGATTTCGAGCCATATCATTCAAGTTCTCTAGCCATCGATTATTATCATCTCGCGGACCCCAAACAGGTAGTCGACAATTACCGACATGGCTAAGTCCACTAGTCAATGACTTCATAGATTTCTCCCATTTTTTGGTCTGGCCGCCCCTAACTTTCTTCCAACCTACTCCTACACTACAAAACAAAGCTCGACGAGGCAGTCGGTGGTTCGGCATACGCAACACATGTCCCAACCACCTCAACTGATGAAGTTTCACCACTTCATCGATTGATCTGCCATCCTTGCCTAGTACTCGTTTCCTAACGACAGCATTGCTTACTCGGTTGTCCCACGGTATACGAGCAATGCTTCGAAGACACCTATGATCGAAAACCAGTAACCTACGAATATCTTCTACTCTCAATAGCCGTGTTTCACAGCCATATAGGAGAACGGAGCGAACTGCTGCACAGTACACTCGTCCTTTGATTAGAGAACGGATATCACGCCGACGCCATAAGTGACGCCTTTTTTAACAGTTTAACTAGGGATACATAACTCACGAACTAACTAACTCACTTATGTAGTAGCCATGGATCGATACAATCCGAATGAAACACATGCTGACATCCAGGTGAAAGCCGCCTAACTTGATCGTTCACTTTAAAAGACATTAAACAAATCAGACATTGACGTCCTGGTGATAATAATCCTGTGGAAAATATACTCGAATTTATGAATGGCCTTCGTTTCATCGATGATGATGATGATGATTTCGCTTCATAATCGTTGTTAGTTTCTTCTTTCTCGCCCAGTATATGTGACAGAATGTAATCTGAATGATTTCTTGACATTCTTATTGTCCATTGACGAATTTGTGCCAATTCAGCTAATTGCAATGGTTTACATTCCGCGTCGATTAACAACCAATAGTTGTTATTAGATCGATTCGTTGAGCTTGATTGATGAAGAAGTAAATTTCAAATAAAAATGCACAATTAAAAGTTATTTAAACAATATTTTCAAACATGATTGTATCAAGAAAAATTGTGAATAATAGTAAACATTCCTATCTCCCGACCGTAGCTGCTACCTTGACTTGACGTGGTGGTGGTCGGGCTTGACTATCGTGTGATGACCCAACCGAGCTATATTGGCTGGAACATATGTTCCTGAAGGTTCTACCATGCCAGGCAGCCAGGTCGATTGGAGAATGATGAGACTAAAAGCAGCTACTCAAGGTCTGAGGGTGAAGTCGTACTGCTGACTGACCGTAGGGAGGTGTGACATCAGTAAGGTGTTTCCATCGGACAACCAGCATCTGCAGTGATGCTGCCTTCTCACAATGAAGAAAGGGTTAGAAAAGGTCGACCCTAAAAATATCACACCTCAACCTACCTCACATATTTCCGTCTCCGTCGGTAAGGGTGCCCACTAAGGGCTTTAAAAAGAGCGGAGCTAATACTCAAAAAAACTTTCATAAAAAGGCCGTGCGTGACCGGCCTCAAGTAGTTGTCCC